TGTACATGGGAGCAAGTGGTGTTTAACACATCAGCTCATCAGGAGCAACTCTACAGTTTCAGTAGTGTTTACCCACAACCAGTTGATGTGATGTTAACACAGCTCATCCCAGTCTACACTGGTGATGATGTGGCATTTTCTTAAAATGACTTCTCAAGGTTGTGTTCTGTTCCAACCTAGCATTCTACTGAAGACAAGCCAGTGATCTGTCACAGCTCTTTGTTGGAGACCCGCAGAACAACATTTTGAGGAGTAGCGGGGGATTGGAGAGGTAGGTCTGTGAGAGACTTCCTCTCTTATGAAGCAGTGCACAACAGACAAAGCTTTACAGCCAGTGGGACAGAATCATTTAAAATGGTGGAGTGATTATCATCACCCTTCAAAGGGTGATCTACCCTGCAACTGGATCAGGGAGCCAATTACAACATGCTTCTGTTTTGTAGCGTACATGGGGCCTACACTAGCTGAACCATGCTAAAGACTGGGACAGGTCCAAGGGTTTAGATAAATTTAGGGACAAGAGTTAAAATACCATTCGATCTTATACGTTAGACTGCACTGACATTGAGTCAGGGAACAGCTATGCTGTAAGCAGCATCCGTCACATGGCAGCCATTGTAATGCAGGTTAATGCTAATCCCTCCCTTATGGTGGCCAATTTTTCAAAAAAATAAAAGGGGACCCCTTGGTTATACCAGCATGCACAGGTTTGGGGTGCAGCTATCTAGTGAACCCCTCCTTCTCTACCCTCTCAGCACAGATGCCTTCCATAGATATTCTGGTTTCACTGATTTTGGTTGTGGCTTTGGGCTATCTTTGGAAAGTTTAAATACATTTAAAGAACGCCTCACGACAGGGCCTGAGCAAAAGTGTCCTCTGCTTATCAGAGACATTCAGCAAACAAAGTCCCAGGTTCTGCTTTTTATCAAATGACTTTCATATAACACAGGTCTCTGAGTCCATGAAAGTAATGACAGTCTGGCAAGTCTTTCTCCCCCAGAAAAGCATCATGTAGACAGGTGCTTTGGAGCTTTTTAATCATGCTGTCAATGGCCTGTTGTGTGTTGTGACTAAACGGTGTGACTGGAGAGTACTGGAGCACTCTCCAGTGCTGGCAATCTGGCTCCTTGCACAGGCATGATATTAACACTTAAAAATCATTAAAAGAGGCGTACAACAGAGTTCATGTGCAACCCAATTAATTTCACTTTTAAACGTGAAGTTAAATGCAGCTCTACATCAGCATTCTTAGAACTCATGACTAGACCAGCATCATCACTAAACCCCCCAGCCAGCTGTCGAAGCAAAATACGAGTGGGCTTATTTACACACTGCAGTATCCTCTCTCTCTCTAATTAGGGAAAATGACAGTGAGGTACTGCAGAATACATGGGACCCTGGTTACAGGGCAGTGTGCTGGACTACATACTGCATAAGCATATGATAGTGCCTAAAACTCTGCTTCAGGACCCATTTGGATTCTAAATGAGATTTCATCTGAAGACACCTCATCATCCCTAGTGGCATTCTTGTCTTTCTCTAGCAATCTCTCAGCACTGCCATCATGCACATTTTTGAGCCAAGAACAAAATTAAACAAAATAAGCAAGCTGTTTGTTTTGGGTTGGAGGAGATAAACTCCCTTCAATTCTCACCTATGGTAAAACTGATTTCCAGAGTACACATCAGAGGTAGGGGAGAACACACACAGTGAAGGAGGGTAAAGATGGAGGCAGAAAAATCAAAATGTACAGTAGGAAAGAAAAAATAGGGCAAAGGAAGGGAGGGGGAAAGGAGGAGGAACAAAACCAAGGGAGACATAGAAAGTTATGTATGATTTAATAACAATTCAAGGACAAACTGCCTGGCTCTGGTATGGCTGCAGAAAGGAGGTGGTGGGGAATTGCTCAATAATACACTGAAAGGTGCCAGATCCTAGATACAGAGCTAGATCAGAGCCTCTACCTTACTTCTGCCCACCCCTCAGGAGACCAAGTTTCAGACAGACTCCCTTCTAGTGTGTGTGCGCGTGTGCACACGTGCGCGCACGCTGTGGGGGAACGACACTATGGCAGAGTTGACCAGACATGTGGGGTAGGATATGTAGTGCTGTCCTAATGAGCGGTGCAGTGTGAACACTTCAACTGAGTTTTGGGGGCATTCTGGGGAGCATTGTGTTCCCAGAGCAACCCTGGGGGCCTAGGCCTTAGTGGCACAATCTGTCACAGATTGCCAACATTTGTAATACATTTATGATATACACAGAGAACCTGAGTTTTAAAGTGACACCTGCATAATTGTCTATGCAAAAAAAGCATACAAAATTGTGTACTTAATTTGCATATGCAGTTACCTGGATTGTGCATGCTAATTGGGTAACTGTGCTTGCAACGGCTATAAGTGTGTTTAATTGGCAATTTGCATGTGTAATTACTTAGTTTATGTGCATAGTAATGGTCACAACTCTCAACCTGTTGGATACAGTATATCACAAAGACCACAAATGAGGGAAACGGCAACTAAAACAAAAAATCATGCAGGACACTTAAAATTCTGAGAGATTCTTTTGGTGTAAATAACTCTTAGCTCTTGACTCTTGATTTCTGATGTAAATAATTTTAAACAGTATAAGCGAAGGGACACCAGTCCTGTGTAAAATGGGAGCTGTCCCTTGAAATGAGAGACACATGACAACTATGGTTACAGCAACTATGTCACCAATTTAGGTATTTGAATATACATATGTTTTTGCATATACAATGGGGCATATGCAATTTTCCAAATTTTCCAAAATGTTTTACATGTCCCAGAATGTTTTAAGCATGTGCAAAAGTGTTGTCAGGATTGGGGCTTAAATGAGATTTTTCATTCATCAATGATGTAGAATTTAGATTAATATGAATGTTTTTAAAGCACTGATATTCCATACACAATATATTACGTTTAACAGCTCTTTTCTGTAAAAAAAAATTTTGTTGAAAAAAGCTGACAATAAATTGATGTGTAGTATTTTTGTTGTATGCAGAGTTTTATATGAACTAACTTGTTTGAATTCAATAGCTATTTTCACCACATCAATATTAACATGACATTAATTGGCTCCCTCTACTGGCCGATTTGCCACATTTATATATTTCCTTTGCCAGGTTGTGTGTTCTGCAGTGAGCAAGCTGTGGTTGCATACCTAAAATTCCTTTTCATGTCAGCACGATAAAAAAAATTAAGTTGTTAGATTAATGTGTTAAACAAGCATGAAATAGCAGCTAAATAAGAAAAAGAAAATGGGACATTCTGCCTCACATACATCTCTGACTGTTGCCAAAGGACAGAGATGGTTGGAAAACTTCTGATGGAATCATTTTCCATTCAAAAAATGCAGTTCCATCAAAACTAAAATGCACTGCAAAATCATTTTGATTTTGCCAACATTTTGTTTCAAAGAAAAAAGGGTGGTAGTGGTGGGGGGAGAGAGGGGAGGGGAGTTCCAATAATGTCAAAACCGCTTCTTGTGCAAAGAAGGTGAGCTGAAGTTTATCATGTGTTCACCAGGAATCAAAAAGTGCCCTGCCACAGTGAGTTTTAACGCATGGCAAAAATGTATCTTTTTATAGAAGTGACTGGTAAACCTCCAAAGGTTTAGGGGTTGGATTTTGGTAACCCCCTGAACATCTGGATACTTATCCAAAATATTGGGATCTGTGGAGTCTGCTAAATTGGGTAGGAAATCTTAACATCAGGTTCTTGTGAGATTCTGATATTTTCTGATTCTGGCTCAGTCAAAATACCACAAAGCTACTTTCATACCACAAGAAAAGCTACTTCCACGGTTCGGCAGAACAAAGGACAGATGCTCAAAGCTGCATAATAATTATCCCTGTGGTTAGGACTACCACCTAGAAATCAGAATCTGGCTAACAGATCCTGCCTCATTTACATCAGTGTACATGTAGAGTAACTCCACTGATTTCAGTGGGAGCTGAAGGCCTTTCTGGATGTTGTAAATAATAATCCAAGTTTTCTGAATTTGCAAAAAAGTTTCAGTTGATGTTTTGGGTAAAGATGTGACTTTTTTAAAACTAGTTATATGTACAAAAGAGAATATTTAAGCAGTGAGTTTTTCCACTTTTACTGAAGAATGTATAGGGGATTTTAGGAAAGTGGGTCTTATCACCGTATGAAACAAATATTAGCAGGGCTCTAATGGGAGGGACAAGAAAATTACAGACTCAGACACCCTGAACCCAGAGGAATTGCTGGTAGCTGGCTTGCAAGCACCTTATAGTGTTGTTTTGGGCAAGTATACGCAGGTGGTTGGTAGAAGCACATCAACTTCAAAGGGATACACATGTGAGTAGCATGGTCTGTGGTCTCCAATTGCTGTGCTGACAATTCAGCAAGGAACTAAAGGGCAGACCTCCATCCTTACCCTAAGCCTAGAGTAGGAGCTTTAGAAGGTTAGAATGCCTCATAGTTAATTCATGCTGGAGAAGCTAATTTTACTGTGTTACTCTTAATCACTCACTGTTTTCTCATAAATAAAAAAACTAAGCAGAATCAGTTATTTTATTTCCTAGTTTGTGCGTAGTGTGTAATGTTATTTTCTGTATTTAGTAACCCTTACCATACTCTCTAAGGGATAGAATAAAGAACTGACTATGATGCTATACCAAACAAGTCTCTACTCTAAACTCAAGGGCTCCTTCAGGAAACTGTGCGGGTAGCAGTGTCCTGTCACAGCACTGACTAAACTCACCACAGGATGTAGCATTAACTGTGTACCCCATTCTACTGGTATTACAGTCCTAATGATTCCAGTACAAGTAGCTCACATCTCAGCCAGCAAAAGTAGAAGTCAGGTGTTGCATATCACTTGCTATTGATAGATTTCTTTATACTGGCAGGTGGATGAACTTTTTGTTAAAACTCTTGCAGCAATTAGTGATAGTACTCAGTGCAATGTTACAATCAATCACAAAACCTGCTTATCATTTCTCTTCTTACCAAGTTGCTCTGCTAAATGTTTGCCTCTCTCAGTGGAGATTACCCGCTCGTCCTCCATGTCACATTTATTACCGACCAAAATAACCTGGGCATTATCCCATGAGTATGTTTTGATTTGAGTTGACCTTAAAAAGATAGAGAGAAAAAGAGTTAAAGCAAATTAAACTGCCCCCAAAATCAAATTTAAACAGAATCATAACAAGACAAATGAGGACAAAACTGACATCTGGACTAAAATGGTTCTATGCAGTCCTGGTGTTCAAATAAGCATAGGGTTGTAGGACACAAAACATAGGAGTAATATTAGTATAGTCTACAATCCCCCTGGTCAGAAGACAGAATCCTTTCAGGGTTTCTTCTGCCAGCAGCCTTTCTTCCTTTATTACTGAAAAGGAACTGCCATGCTTCCCTCTCCTTCTCCTTAGCATAAAAATGATGTATTTTCACATTGTAACAAAAGACCTTCCAGAGTGTTTTTTAGAAAAAAAATGAACAGTTTATTCATATATTATCTTCCACCTTTCAAAATTAAATTTAACAGCAAAACTTCAAAGGCATTCTGGCTTCCTCCTCTTATTTCTTCCCAGCATATTGCCCTGGAGCCCTTTGTGCTAACAGGGTTATGTTATCCAAAAAAAAAGTATGTGTCACCACGATATTGTCTTAGATAATTTTTCACATTATCTCACAATCTTGTTTCCTGACTTTAGGCAGCAGCAAACCAGTCTTACCATGGTTGTTTCTTTTTTTAAAAATTTATTTATGATACATCCACAGAACTAAGTAGCTGCTGCTGCAGAGTTTGGTTCCATTGTCCAGGGAGGCCCTGGTTAGGCATAAGAGAGGATTAAATAGCATCATAATGCTAGGTTTCAGAGGAACAGCCGTGTTAGTCTGTATTCGCAAAAAGAAAAGGAGTACTTGTGGCACCTTAGAGACTAACCAATTTATTTGAGCATGAGCTTTCGTGAGCTACAGCTCACTTCATCAGATGCATACCGTGGAAACTGCAGCAGACTTTATATATACACAGAGAATATGAAACAATACCTCTTCCCACCCCACTGTCCTGCTGGTAATAGCTTATCTAAAGTGATCGACAGGTGGGCCATTTCCAGCACAAATCCAGGTTTTCCTCACCCTCCACCCCCCCACACAAATTCACTCTCCTGCTGGTGCTAGCCCATCCAAAGTGACAACTCTTTACATAATCAAGTCGGGCTATTTCCTGCATAAATCCAGGTTCTCTCACATCCCCCCCACCCCCATACACACACAAACTCACTCTCCTGCTGGTAATAGCTCATCTAAACTGACCACTCTCCAAGTTTAAATCCAAGTTAAACCAGAACATCTGGGGGGGGGGGGTAGGAAAAAACAAGAGGAAACAGGCTACCTTGCATAATGACTTAGCCACTCCCAGTCTCTATTTAAGCCTAAATTAATAGTATCCAATTTTCAAATGAATTCCAATTCAGCAGTTTCTCGCTGGAGTCTGGATTTGAAGTTTTTTTGTTTTAAGATAGCGACCTTCATGTCTGTGATTGCGTGACCAGAGAGATTGAAGTGTTCTCTGACTGGTTTATGAATGTTATAATTCTTGACATCTGATTTGTGTCCATTTATTCTTTTACGTAGAGACTGTCCAGTTTGACCAATGTACATGGCAGAGGGGCATTGCTGGCACATGATGGCATATATCACATTGGTGGATGTGCAGGTGAACGAGCCTCTGATAGTGTGGCTGATGTTATTAGGCCCTGTGATGGTGTCCCCTGAATAGATATGTGGGCACAATTGGCAACGGGCTTTGTTGCAAGGATAAGTTCCTGGGTTAGTGGTTCTGTTGTGTGGTATGTGGTTGTTGGTGAGTATTTGCTTCAGGTTGCGGGGCTGTCTGTAGGCAAGGACTGGCCTGTCTCCCAAGACTTGTGAGAGTGTTGGGTCATCCTTTAGGATAGGTTGTAGATCCTTAATAATGCGTTGGAGGGGTTTTAGTTGGGGGCTGAAGGTGACTGCTAGTGGCGTTCTGTTATTTTCTTTGTTGGGCCTGTCCTGTAGTAGGTAACTTCTGGGAACTCTTCTGGCTCTATCAATCTGTTTCTTTACTTCTGCAGGTGGGTATTGTAGTTGTAAGAAAGCTTGACAGAGATCTTGTAGGTGTTTGTCTCTGTCTGAGGGGTGCTCAGTTACTTTTGAAGCTGCAAAGTTCTGGTTGTACACCCAGTAGTGACACTTTTTCACCACATAGCTATACTATGCATATATTTGGAAGTCCATAGGTTTTGTGCATACCTACCATGTTATACTTTACCCAGGTACCATGGCAGAGACACGATGTGGGAAATCCTCCACTCTGGTTGTACTCAGTGCAAGACCAGAGGATGGACATGTGCAAAAATGACTATGCCACCTTTGTAACCCCCTAGATCCTGTAGCCAATCTGCCTATGTCCAGACACCCAGCACAAGTTAGAGCAGTCTGTTGTAGCTTACAGTGCCAACACACAGCCCTCAAACGTTCATTCCAGTAGCTGGATATCACTGGAGCATGGAGGGGCTCAGCCACTCACGGCTCTCCCAATGACACATCACCTGCACTGAGGCCATAGGGTGAGTTGCACAGAATTTGCTACTGCAGCTCTACACCACCTGAGGATTTGCACTGCATGGGAATTTTCAAGGGGCTGGTTAGGCTGGCTTTAGGGTGGCTTTGCTCCACCATAGTAAGCAAAAGGCAGATGAAGTGGGGCTGAAGATCTAGACCTACATATTTGGCATTTGAAGTATTTAATGATGATATATGTGGTCTGAAGTATTTGTTTATACACTGTTCTCGTTGGTCTGACATGCTTTTTCCAACATTAAAATGGGAATTCTACCTCACATTTTTGAAGGCAAGTTCTCAAATGGCTATTTTGTCATGGATATATTTTTAATAAAAGTCATAGACAGGTCACAGGCAATGAAGAAAAATTCATGGAAGCCCGTGACTTTTACTAAAAATATCTGTGATAAAATGGGGAGCTGTGGGGTTCCCACACCTCCTGCAGCAGCTGTGAGGCCCTGGCTTGGAGCTTGGGGACCCTACTGCCCATGGGGCTCAGAGCTCCAGGGTCCCCTGGTGCCTGCAGCTTGGAGTTGTGGGGTTCCCCAGTGGCTTGGAGCTCTGGGAGCCCCCGCTGGCCATGGTACCCTGGAGCCCCAGGGTAGCCCCGCTGCTCTGGAGGGGCCCCTGCAGTGTCTGGGAGCTGTGGGGTACCCCCACTGCCTGCAGTGGCTTTGGAGCTCAGGAGGGGCGGTGGGGGGACCCTACAGCTCCCAGCCACTGCAAGCTGAAGTCATTGAGGTCTTTGGAGGTCACAGACTCCATGACTACCATGACCTCTGACAAAAATCATAGTCTTAATCATCAGGTACTATAACTAGAGCAGTCTATAGCGGTCAGAATTTTATTAATATTTATAATTGCTTAAAGAGACTATCACTTAGAAAATAGGACACCATCAATTAGTTTTGGCAGAAATGTATTTTTGGAACCATGCTGAGTTCTTATGGAATTTGTGGTTAATCAGAATGTGGTTAATAGTTTTCACCAGAGCTACAGTGGTCACTGTGGTAAACTTGGAGATGGCAGTAACTCAAATCAACCCATTAGTGACTCTTATTTGTGATCAGTCATGAGTTCAAGCCCATTGGCATTCTATATTTCAGTGGAAAATGGAAGATTTTTTAAAAATAAAAGTGTAGCGAGAGTAAAATAAATAGTTCTAGTCAATGAGTAAATTAGTCATGCATTTATATGCAAGGCTGAAATCCGAAATACAAAGGTTTTCACTGTAAAACAGTTTGTTTGGTTTACATGTGTATGCACCACACATACTGGTTTGGGTGTCTTTGAACATAAGAATTAGAAACACCCTTTATTAAAAAGTGTTGTTGTGCCTTCTAGTACTTGAGAACCTGAGCATACAAAACACAGCTCTTCCCACAAAAAACAAAAAAAAAAAAATTAACAGTCTTTGATAATCTGACTGGTCTAGATCTCATTTTGAAGTTGTAGGGAGTTTCTTATTTCAGCTAAAAGTTAAGAGATCTTGTCCTTAATAAGGACAGAAGGAGAGTCAGAAAAAGAAAATTTGACCCCAAGTTCTCACTAGTCTTACATGAGCTGCTTCTGTTCAGAGATGACTTTGCTGTGCAGAAATGCAAATGATTGTCTGTGGGAGTATTCAGTGCAAATTTCTCCCCATCCCCTCCTCACTACACTGTCACATCAATAGAAGAATGGATTCAAAGTAATTTACTAGGGCCACCACCATTATGTTTTCCTCTGACATACATTTCAACTAATGGCTTCTATAGATCTTTTCATCCACAAGTCACCACAAAAGCCAACACAAACATCTATTAAAAAACACAATTTTTCCCCTTCCTTGCATATACGACTTTTAAAATGGCACAACCTTCTGACAGACCTAAACTATGTAGTTTTGTCCTTGAAAAGAACTTTAGCCTCAGGAAAACTGAAGATATGAAAAGGCAAAGCGGATATTTGCAGCAAGTTGAATATAGCAATTGTTGTCCAGTCTGACTGACCTACTGTATGGCAATAGTAATTTACCCTGCAAATCTTTCATACGCTAGTTCCATTGTAGGTATGCAATCCACAACATGCTTTAATTTTTTTTATTGAATGGGCACCACTGACACACGTTAATGCAGCAGTTCAATGATTTGTTCTTTCCAGTGATCAATTCAAGTCTTGCACTGCAATTCAGCCAGCCATATTGCTTGCAAGACAAGAGCATGTTGGTAAAATGCTGACTAAAGCAACACTGTCTTCTCACCATTCTGCAGTAGTGCCTCAAAGCACTACAATTCACACTAATGTTACTGTAGTGGTTTGGACCATTGCTTTAGAACACTGTCAATACTAGAGTCTTCCCCCCCACCCCCCATTAGGTTTGATGGTGTTAGCCATTTGTGCGGAAGCTATTCTGTAGCAGGCAGCTGCCTCTTCAGGAAGACAGCCTTTAAATGCTATTTGGTGTACAATAAAACTATAAACATTTAAAAACAAATAGTCCAGAAAGGCTCAGGTGCATGAATGTGCGCACACATAG